GAAAAACAGACATTGTTGAGCAGGAGTCCTGCACGGAGGAGGCAGAATCCCTAAATTTGGCCCATCCTGAACAACATATTAGGTATCTCTAGAGAACAGGGTGAAAGAGAATATATCCTCCCCACTCAGGCTATGGAACTATTCTGAGTCGGCTACGATAGCCTAATAGCTCATCCTTCCCCAATCTGAAAGTGCTTTGAATCTTGTTGCTTACACACGTTACCCCACCCACTCCCACCCATGCTGTGAATGCGACAGGCAAGGAATCCCTGCAGAGCTGGGCTCTGTTATAAAATGAGGTGCATATCTACTATGTAGCCTTCCTTTTGCCCAAAGCCATCGCCCAAAGTCCATCTCCAGAATAGCCACACCATTTCCAATGCCATAGGGTGCTCCACAGCTGCAGAGGGATGGGCTGCAATTGCCCTGCCCTAAAATGCTGCCTTTATTTTAGAAACTTGTTTTCAGCAAATAGAATGTAGCCCACCTTTTCAAAACACCACAGCATCACATTAAATTTCTCTAGCTTTCCACTAAGTAATTGATCAATATTAAAATCTAACCAGACACTTTTATAGCCACTAGCTTTTCATTACTTGCATTTGTTTTATCTTCCGACTTCATTCTAAAAATCCTTTGCCCTTCACACCCATCTTTCGGCTCATGAGACCATTTTGTTAAGCATCTTTTGACGTCTAAACAGAGAGCAAACCTGAAAGCCATTAAGAATGGAACTCTTTTATTGCACATTTATTGTAATTACAGAAACCTTTATAAAAGCAGCTCCTTTTCAAGCTTTGGATGCCAGATCTACCCAATAGGTTGTAATTCCTTCCTGCACTTTGTTAGACTTCATCCATCTGCTAAGTCATATAAACATATACCACCAACATACATGGCCCACATTCCCATAAGTCTCCTGGAGTAACTGGCTGGCAAACAGATTTGTTTTATTGCGATCAGCTTTCTTTTTTCCAACAGATGACCTTGTAAGGGTCTGTGTAATAAACTGTTGTGGGTAGAACACTGACATTTATGTCAGATTTCTGTTCTCTCATTTACACAGTGTGTCTTAATGAACTTTAAAGTGATACCAAAAATATCAGTGCGCTTTGGAATCACAGAATGTTAAAGTTGGATCCTCAGCAGAAACAACACGAATGAGGTAAATTCACATAATTTTAAGCAACAGTTTAGCCCTATATGTACAAATGTCCAAGCTACGGTTGCTGAAAGAGGAATAACTTAGAGCTTTAGTGAGGTTGAATTTTCATCTACAATGATATTTTAACACATTTTGATTTTAATAATATGAAGTATTTTTGAGTACTCTGAGGAGAAAGTACAAACTCTGCTCATGACCACTTGCCTTGGCTTTTCTGCTGTAAGTTACGTCTTTTTCCCAAGCTCATTTATTTTATTTATTTATTTGTACATTTCCTACATTTTAAACTCTGTAAATCCCAGGCACAAGCTAAACACCAATTTTTATTGGAAGTCGCTAGAGAATATGTGATCTGTCTCCATGCAACAATGTACGGTTCAACTATTTTTGTATTAACACAACTGCACATTGTGACATTTGTCCTATTTGTAAATAACATGTTATTTCCATATGATATGATACAATAAATATGCAAAGTCATTCTTGTGACTCTATTTCTGTGTAACTATAAGCCCATGGACCCGATCTTGAAACCCCTACACAAGGCTAGATTGTGGCTGGGTGTGACATGCAGTAACATCTCCCCACTGCTTAGCAGCTGCCTGAAGCTCAGTCAACAAACTCAGCTTTCCACGAATAGAGGTATGGCTAACTGGAGAGGGAAGGAGTGAGGAAAGAGGCACTCTGCATGGTACAATCCCCTTTCAAAGGGTCACAATTTACAAGGCCACTTGCACAGTGAACTACGACTGTAGGAAGCAACAGCAACTCCTCCTCTCTGGCTTTGACACACCAGAGGAGAGTCTGAACTAATGGCAGGTGGTAAAGGACATCAATGAGAAAAGAAAATGTTCCATCCACCGCTGCCTGTGCTAATGGGAAGGGTGGATATCAGGGTGCCTTTCAATGGCGAGCAGTGCAGCATGCCAGCCTCGGCATGATCTGCAGCCCAAACTCCCCGCTGCTCGCTGGCTCTCCGAGGCAGCCCGTTTTCTCCTCTGGACAGGAAGAGGCGGTCCGAAGAATAAACGTGATCATTGGTCCAGAGTCTAATTTTGGACCAGTTTTAAACTGGCATAACTCTATTAACTACAGTGAAGTACACTGGCACAAGCGAGAACAGAATCAGTTCCATTTTTCAATAGACTACAGCGCTCACCATTCAAAAAGAGCACCATTTACCGGGCCGCTTTCCTTGTTTCCTATAATTAGAACAGGATATAACACACTGAACTAAAACAACATGGTGACAGTCATTGTACCAGAAACTAGATTTGATTTTGGGTCAACCATTTTGGAGAAAGTATTTTAATGCTATTACAGCCTTCGTTTAAGGACTGACAGCGAACACTCAAAAGGGGTGCATTTAAGAAAAATGTAATTTTTATGGAATGTTACACTTAGGGCCTGATCCTGCAAACCATCCACACACAGAACTTCCATTAGCCTCATTACATTGAATCAGCCAGGAAGTTTGCAGCACTTATTATGAAAGCATATAATGATAGATGTTAATCAGTCTGCAAAATTCAATGGACAATTTCTGCTATGGTAATACCACAGAATGAATCTTCCTGTCTTCCCTCAACTAGGGCCCATATGCAGAACTCCTGTTAACTTCAATAAGAATTCAAAATGCAAAACACTTGCAGGATTGAGCCCTTGTTAAAACAAACAAGCAAAATACCCCAACTATTTCATTCAGATAAATCGTTACTGCAAAGGGCAAAATAGTGCATGCATTACCAGTGTTCATAAGGTGAATAATGCCAAACTGACATCACTGAAAGCTGAAGTACTCAAAACAGATACCTGCACAGCAGATCCTTGACTGGTGTGCTTTGTCATAATTTCGTTTAAGTCGTTATAGCTATGACAATTCACATCATGTAAAGATGGCCCCAGCATAGGTGACAGCAGTACAAATTTAACCAGGCTGCCCTATCAGCAGCATACCAGTATCTCAGTCTTGATCTAGAGCACGGGTCGGCAACCTATGGTACGCATGCCAAAGACAGCACACGAGCCAATTTTTAATGGCACGCTGCTGTCTGCTGCAGACCCCAGCAGACAGCAGCGTGCCACTAAAAATCCTGCCCGGCCCGCTCTTCTCCGCCCTCCCGCCCACCGCTCTCTCCTTGCAGGACAGGCAAGCATCCCCCTTCCCCCCGCCTCTTCCCCCAGCGTGCTGGGTTACTGCCCCTCCTTCTCTCCCTCCCTGTGGCCAATCAGCTGACGGCCCTTGCTACAGAGGGGGAGAGGGAAAAGCGGAGCTGCAGCGCACTTGCGCTCTCTGCTCCGGAGACCTTGGGGAAGGGGGGTGGAATCAGGGCATATCCCCTCCAGCCCCCTGCCGTGAGCCACTCAGGGCAGGTGGCTGGGAGCACCCCCACGACCCCAGCCCACACTCCCAGCCCTCCGCCCTCACACACCCCCAGGCCTCTGTCCTTACCCCTGCACCCCTCACAATGCCAGCCCTGACTCCGGCACCCTACTCACACACCCCCAGCCCCCTGCCCTGACTCTTGCATCCCCCACATCCTCACCTCCACCCTGAGCACCAAACGGGAGTTCCTGCACACACACGCACACACACACACATTCCCACCTGCACCCCTTGCACCAAATGGGAGCTGCCCAGGTAAGAGCTCCACACCCAAACCTCCTGCCCCAACCCTGAGCCCCCTTCCTCATTCTAGCTCCTGGCCAGACTCTGCACCCCAACCTCCAGCCTGCTCCTTCATCCCCAGCCCTGTACTCAGTGCACTCCCGCCCTCATCTCAGTGCAGAGAGAGGAAGAGAATGGCTAGAACCAGGGAGAAGGTAGGTACCCACTCTATGTGGACAGGGCCGGGACCCCAGACCAGCAGCGGGGCTGAGTGGGGCCGGCAGCCGGGACCCTGGCTGGCAGGATCCAGCAGTCGGAACCCCAGACCGGCAGTGGGCTGAGCCGTTCAGCCCACTGCTGGTCTGGGGTCCCGGCCGCCGGCACTGCTCAGCCCGCTGCCGGTCTGGGGTTCTGGCTGCCTGCCCCTTGCCAGCTGGGGTCCTGGCCGCAGGACCCGCTCAGCCCGCTGCCGGCCTAGGTGAATGGAACCCCAGGCCGGCAGCGGGTTGAGCGGGCTGGCAGCGTAAGATCAGCATTTTAATTTAATTTTAAATGAAGCTTCTTAAACATTTTGAAGACCTTGATTACATACGACAATAGTTTAGTTATATAATATATAGACTTATAGAGAGAGACCTTCTAAAAAACGTTAAAATGTATTATTGGCATGCAAAACCTTAAATTAAAGTGAATAAATGAAGACTCGGCACACCACTTCTAAAAGGTTGCCGACCCCTGATCTAGAGGGACCACCTAGATGGTGTGCTGGCAATGTAGTGTTCAGTCTCCATGCTGATTCTGTTCTTGGTCTCTCTGCTGACACTATTAACAAGAGCCACCTATAGTAATATTAAGTTTTTGTAATGAGCATGGCTGATCACTAGGAACTAGACTAGAACCAACACTTTCCACTGAACAGCAATCATATGGTAACATCTTCTAGTTACTACTGAACTGTGAGAAGATTTGAATTAGCAACACCATGGTGAAAGATTTTGTAACTCATTAAGAACTTCTTACACCATTTAGTTTTCCTTAGCAATTTACATTAATTTTAACATTATATATTTAATAAGTGATTCATATATTATCTCAGTATAAAACTGTATGCAAAACTCATGAACTTGCAGTAAAATAGAGTGAAGTATTTTATAATTCCAATATCAATACTGTTCTGTTGCTGGATCTCATTTTAAGATATAGTATATATAAGAAGTATAACCTTACCATTGTCTTCAATGGAGAAGTAGATGATGTCACTGGTAGAACTATCGCCCTCTTTCAAGACATAGCTGATCTTCATTTCATCAATATCAGCTGATAAATGAAACATGCTAAGTGAATCACCACAGCATTTTACTGCAGAATATAACACTTACCAATAGATTTTGAACTTTAGTATTTTAATTTAGTAAACAATATTTGATAACATTCTCATAAATTACTAATTGTTTTTGAAGAATAATATTTTAACAATGTTCTTTGTCAAACAAAGAAAAAGCCAGTTTTAGAAGATGTATCACTTTAAATTGTATAAACAAGAACTCAAACTCTATCGCAGTAGCATTAGTTCCTACCATGGTCCTTGCTCTGCAGTTCAGCAGTAATTAACCTGATTATTAATTTAAAGCTAAAAAACTAACTTCTGTTTTGTTTTAATCTGTTCTTTAATATAGTATTTAAAAGTTTAAATTAATTGCAAATTCTAGTTTTCAGAAACCCTTCACCCATTATAATGAGAATGACTATGCTACACCTAAATTGTACATTGGGGAATAAAAATTGATCCCCATAGTTTTGTGCTTTAAAAAAAAACAAAATAAAAAAAACCCCAACAACCTGTACCACACAACTATTTCAAATGACTGGGTATCAGATGAAATAGTGGGAAGTGTGGAAATTTTAATTAATTTTACTTTATAGTGACTATTTCTGAATTTACTAAAAGTCTGATTCAAAGCTCACTGAAGATCTTTTACTTTTGCTTCTTCACACACAAGAAATAAGTTGACAGTTTCAGTTTTAAGTGAACATTCTTTGTGCATCTTAAAGTACCCATTTCTTCATACCCAACTCAGCAATGCAAATGTCCTGGATCTAATGCTACCCTGCCATACATGGGTGTTAACTCATGTGGACTTCAATAGCAGTGGTACCTGCTTGCCTCATGGTTGATTTCAGTACTTTTAGTTAAACTGAAATCCTAATTCTTTACAGGTGTGGAACATTTGTGTGGATGGTGTGGATTGCACTCTCAGCAAATTTGCGGATGATACTAAACTGGGAGGAGTGGTAGATACGCTGGAGGGGAGGGATAGGATACAGAAGGACCTAGACAAATTGGAGGATTGGGCCAAAAGAAATCTGATGAGGTTCAATAAGGATAAGTGCAGGGTCCTGCACTTAGGACGGAAGAACCCAATGCACAGCTACAGACTAGGGACCGAATGGCTAGGCAGCAGTTCTGCGGAAAAGGACCTAGGGGTGACAGTGGACGAGAAGCTGGATATGAGTCAGCAGTGTGCCCTTGTTGCCAAGAAGGCCAATGGCATTTTGGGATGTATAAGTAGGGGCATAGCGAGCAGATCGAGGGACGTGATCGTCCCCCTCTATTCGACATTGGTGAGGCCTCATCTGGAGTACTGTGTCCAGTTTTGGGCCCCACACTTCAAGAAGGATGTGGATAAATTGGAGAGAGTCCAGCGAAGGGCAACAAAAATGATTAGGGGTCTGGAACACATGAGTTATGAGGAGAGGCTGAGGGAGCTGGGATTGTTTAGCCTGCAGAAGAGAAGAATGAGGGGGGATTTGATAGCTGCTTTCAACTACCTGAAAGGGGGTTCCAAAGAGGATGGCTCTAGACTGTTCTCAATGGTAGCAGATGACAGAACGAGGAGTAATGGTCTCAAGTTGCAGTGGGGGAGGTTTAGATTGGATATTAGGAAAAACTTTTTCACTAAGAGGGTGGTGAAACACTGGAATGCGTTACCTAGGGAGGTGGTAGAATCTCCTTCCTTAGAGGTTTTTAAGGTCAGGCTTGACAAAGCCCTGGCTGGGATGATTTAACTGGGAATTGGTCCTGCTTAGAGCAGGGGGTTGGACTAGATGACCTTCTGGGGTCCCTTCCAACCCTTATATTCTATGATTGTATGATTTACAGCTGAATTGTAAACAAATTTTACTACATTAGAGCTTGAAAGATTAACCGAAAGACTTTTAAGTAAAGTGATAACAAAGAACGAAAAATCTGGAATCATGCAGATTTTCAACCTAATAGCTTTTTCTTCTTTCTCTAAATCCAGAAACAAAGGTGGCTGCCTTCCCCCTTTTACCTTTGTCCCTACTTTGTTTAGGAATCTACCCATGGGAGGTGGACCAGAGATCTAGGGTCAAAGCACTTCTGGGGCCAAATTAAGACTTGATTCTCCCCCATAAGAGATGAGTAACTCCACATTGCTATCAATGGGAATTACTTATGTCCTGTGACAGAACAATACACACCATCAGTAAATCTCCAGACATTTTCATTTTTACAGATGGTGAAACCAAAGCACAGAAACGTGGAATGACTTCTCATAACTTACACAGCAAGACAGGAATAGAGGCTAGGGCTACAATTTTCAAAAGTATTTACTTGATTTAGGCTCTGAAGTCCCAGTTTCAAATGTGATTTAGAGTGATTTAGGCACCCCTTTCAAGTCTCATTGAAAGTCAATAGGGCATGTGCTCCTAAATCACATAAAGACAGGTTTCAGAGTAACAGCCGTGTTAGTCTGTATTCGCAAAAAGAAAAGGAGTACTTGTGGCACCTTAGAGACTAACCAATTTAAGCATAAGCTTTCGTGAGCTACAGCTCACTTCATCGGATTCATACTGTGGAAAATACAGATGTTTTTATACACACAGACCATGGTGCCACAAGTACTCCTTTTCTTTTTTTGTAAATCACATAAAGTATGTCTACACAGCCTGTGGAAACAAACCAGCAGCAAGCCTCCCAGCCTTGGTCAACAGATTCGAGTTTGCAGGGTTCATGCTAGTGCTCTAAAAATAGCTGCGTTGACACCACATTGAAGTTGCAGCTCAGGTTCTGAAACCCACCACATCTCTAGGCTTTAGAGCTTGAGCTCCAGCCCAACCTGCAACTTCAAAGTGCTGGCTACACAGCTAGTTTTAGAGCACTTATGTAAGTCCCACAATCCCAAGTCTGTTAACCCAGGCTCACAGCACGGGCTGTGTAGAGAAACGCTCAGGTGCTTTTGAAAATATTACCCTGTGCCTCCTGATGCATTGTACCAGGACCTGACCACACGTTAGGGATGTTATCAAGTCTTGCAAGTAAGAAAGAGAACTTTAGGTTAAGTGTTGGCACGTAAAACAAGCCTTTCAGCTTCCTTTTAAAATGTATTTATTTCTAATTTCAAGGCTACCCATGTACCTTGTAAATGGTTTAAGATCTTTAAGTTTTTGTCATTATTTTTAAAAGACAATCCAGTTTAACCTTAAATTACCTCATAGGTGAGCAAGTGAATTGTCTAAGGTATATTCCTGGATCTAAAGGCTGTAAATGAATAAATCCATTATCACCAACCTTGTGTAAATGTGTAAATGCTCTCATTTCCAAGGCCAATATTCATGATGAATCCATGGTCTGGGCTATCTGTGATTTTGTACTTCAGCAGTTTGTGTGGGCTGTCTCGGTCTTCTGCCTTCAGTGACTTGCTGGTGATCAAGAAGCCCAAGTGTCCAGTCGGAAGGTTTCTCAGAGTTGGGGCACCTTTGTTCACCACTAACTGTGGCACCCCATTGTCCAGGGGATTGATCTGGATCTTCAACGTCTGGGGTTGATGAGTCTCCAGAATGGTGTCAGGGAAAATGTAAAAGTCTGTGTGGGTCCCGTCAGTCACAGTGAACGAGAAGCTATCCTGGCTTGTTTCTGTACCATCATGTCTATAGCTGATCAGATTCTCATTCAAATCTAATTTGGTGAAGCTGGTCACAGGATAGCTGCTGTTATATAAAATCCAGCCATGGACAGGGACCTGGGTAACCGTGAAACGGAGCAAATGGTCAGGGGTGTCCTGATCTTCCACAGTCAACTCAAAGGGGGTAATCAGTTTGGTCTTCCCTTCCTCTACTACAAGGTCATGGATAGTCAGAATTGGCTTTTTATTGTCCACGTCTGTAATGGAGACTCTGAAGGTGCGGAAGACCGGATTATAGCCATCTGTCACTTCAAACTCGAAGCTGTCCATCTTCACCTCATCCTCTGCAGTGTGGATGTAGTAAATCTTATTGCCAGCTAGCTGGAGCTGAGAGAAGGAAGCAACAGGCACCCCAGGACTGTCTGAGCTCTCTAAGTGCCCTCGGCTAGGGGCCCGGGTGATGCCAAAGCGCAGGTTCTCATCAGGGCTGTTAATGTCACTAGTGCTGAGCAGGTCAGTTGTGAGCGTCACCTTCCCACCCTCTTTCAGAGTTACCCCTTTGTTAATCACCTCAGGAAAGACTATGTCAATGCCGCTGATGGTAATATAAAAGTATCTGTCTATCAAGGGGTTAATGCCATCAGTGACATCAAATTTAACCAGGTCACGGACCCCTTGTTGGCCAGTATGAGCATAACGGATAAAACCATGGTCTATATCATCCTGGGTGAAGTTCATGCCCACTGTAATATTGCCTAATGGCTCCCCGCGTCTGCTCACATGCTGCAGAAGACCCTGCCTGGGTGCCAAGCGGATGATGTAGGTGAGGTTCCTGTCTTCTGAATCTATGTCTGTGGCTTTAAGATCTCTGTTCGTGATGACCTTAGACCCACCAATCTCTATCTCCAGCCCATCGTTAATAGTCATCCGAGGGGTCTCATCATCCATAAGGATCACCATGATCAGCACTTTCTGTTCCACTGTGTGCTGGCCATCACTTAGCTGGACTTTGAAGCTGTCCTCTTTAATTTCGGAGTCATCATGCTCATAGACAATGCTGGAGGCCTCCTGGATCTCCTCCATTGTGAAGTTGCGGATGGGTATGGCACCAGTTGTCAGCTGCTGCACAATTTGCCCATGCTTGGGGGGAACACTGATGAAGAAGTGCAGGTGGTCTGGGGGAAGATCAGCATCGGAGCCATTGAGGATGGGCGTGTCAATAACCAGACTCATCCCCTCCAGCACCACAAACTCACGCACGGACAGCTCAGGCTTTTCATCATTGGTAGGGATGATGATAATGGGGAAGAAGTGGTGTGGGGAGACGTTGACGCCATCAGAGCAGCAGAAAGTGAATCTGTCCTCTAAGGGCTCCACCCCCTTGTGGATGCTCTGAACATAGCTGATATGTCCCAGGTGAACATCTTTGATGGAGAAGGTGCTAATGGCAGTGCCAGCCCTAGACTTTTCAGACCCCGGGGCTGGAGAGATGTTCTCCAGGTATCCAGAAGTGGACTGAACAGTGATGGTGCACAAAATGTCATCTATGGGAGTATCCACATCCTCCACATCCAGTTGCTGCTGGGCCAGGGCTTTCTTTCCTCCCTCTGAGACAATGAACAGCTCGGGCCCCACAATCACTTTAGGTGCAATGCTGTCCACAGGCAGCACAGTCACAGACACACATACCCCTTGCACCGTGCTGCCTCCCACCACCCACTCATGGGAGAGGTCAGAGATGGTCAGATTGAAAGAGTCATATCTCTTCTTCAGGCCAATCTCTCCACCAGTGTGAGCATAGACTATTGTCCCACTGATAAGGTCTTGCTGGGTGAATCTCTCCATGGGCACCCGATTTACCAGAATGTCACCCAGCTTGGGCGGATCCTTCACAAAGAAAGTCAGTGCCAGATCATCAGTATCTTCATCTGTGCCCTGGAGAAGGGAAGTAGTGATCTCAGTGACACCATTTTCTAGCACATCAATAGAGGGTCCCAGCAGCTCATTACCACCAGGTAGAGTGATGCTAGGCCTTTCATCGTCCACTGGCTGCACAGTGATCCTAACAATGATTGGCACATGGTGAATGCCATCACTCACTTCCAGTTGATAGAAGTCATTGGTGGACTCATCACCACTGTGCTGGTAGGATATACGCCCACTGGCAATATCATCTAGCAGGAAAGATTCCCCCTGGACCATCAGCCCCTCCAGGTAGCGCAGGTGGCCATGCTGGGGTGCCTGGTTTAAGATGAAGACAATTTGGTCTGTGTCCGTGTCCTGGTCAGTGGCATCCAACTGACTGGTGGTGAGAAGGAAGCTGCTCCCCTCGAGCACAGTGAAGCCCATGTTGGTGATCTGGGGTGGCTGGTTGTCCACTGGCTGCAGGAAGATTGTGAAGGTCCCTGGCACAGAGTTGCTCGCTGAGTCCTCTACACTGTAGTTAAATTGTACCACCCTTGGGGTGATACCCAGCTCCTGGTCAGGAGGCCGGTATGCCACCTTCTGATGGTTGACCTGGGCTTGGGTGAACTGAGTAATGGACACCAGAGGGTTGTCAGCCAGCACGATCTCTCCAGCCAGCAGAGGGTGGTTCTCATCTATGTCAGTTGGGGGTGTAAGCAGGGTGTATTTCAACTCGCTGTCATCTGTGTCCAGGTCAGTGTAGCACAGATAGCGCTTTCTGAATTGGGTCACCTGGTACTCCAAGACTGTCATCTGTAGGCTAGTGCCTGGGTATAGCTGTGGGGGCAAACTGTCTACTGGTTGCACTTTGACGGTGAATATTTGCTCCCCAGACTGGTTAGGGGGCTCATTGTCATCCTGGAGGCGGAACACAAACTGGTCTATCACAGGACTGGTGCTATGGGGTCCTGTGTGCCTGCAGAACAGCCTTCCATCCAGGATGTCCTGCTGCAGCCATTCACTCACCACCTTCTCATACACACCCTCGCTTTCCACAAAGGGCCATGAGGAGGAAGCACCACCAGCCTCCTCCATGTCCTCTTCCCTCTCATAGGATGGTGGTGTCTCTGCCTGGCACAGGAGAAGCTCACCCAGGCAGTGGGAGTGTGAGGCGTGGGCAGACTCCTCAGGGTCCTTCTGAAGTATAAAGCGAATTGTCGACTCTTCAGAATCAATGTCAGTAGCGCTGAGAACGAAGGGTGAGATCTGGACAGCCTGGCGCTCTCTCAGCACCAGCCCAGTGTTGGCGTTGAGCAGGGGTGGCTGGTCATCAACAGGGGCGATGATGATGGGGAAAAGAAACTCCACCTGGTGCTGCCCGTCCTCCATGAGGAACACGGTGTTGTCACTGTAGCTGTGCTCACTGCCATCGTGCTGGTAAACTACCTGCCCAGCCTCCAGCTCGGCTGCTGTGAAGTACTCGCGGCCGGGTGGCGCGCCCAGTACCCTGAGCTCGCCATGTCGCAGGCCCCGTGTCACCCAGACCTTCACCTCGCTCAAGTTGTCCTCATCGCTTATCTCCAGAGTGCCAGACAGAGGCCTCGACTGCCCCTCAAAGAGCATGAGCTGGGGGCCAGCGGCTTGGCTGAAGGTAGCCACTGGGGCTAGCGTGTTCATGGGCTTCACCACCACCATGAAGGCAAAGGGCTGGGAAGAGGCGCCCTCAGGGTCCAGCACCTTCATTTCCATCTGGAAGATGCGCTCCTGGTCCGAGTCCACAGTGGGCGGCTGGTAGGCGATCTTCAGCTCCCTCAGCTCCCGCTGGGTGAAGGAGGTGAGGGGCCGGCCGGGCTCGTCGGTGCTGAGCAGGTAGCCCCGCAGCCGGAGATCCTCGCCTTCCCGCCCGCCGGGGCTGGGGCTGGGGCGGCCAGGGCGCGGTGAGGCTGAAGAGCAGCAGGTCCGGGGGGCTCTCCAGATCCTCCGCCGCCAGCATGTCGGGGGTGAGGGCGGTGAGCACGAACTGACCCACCTCGGCCACCAGCAGCGCCGCGAAGCCCAGGGAGGGGGCCGTGTTGGCCGCGCCGCCCCGCAGCCGCACCGCCACCTGGAAGTACTCCGGCTCCGCGCCTGCCAGCAGCTCCACCCGCATGGGGATGGCGTCGCGGCGGGACCAGGGCTCGGCCGCCGTGTGCTGGTAGCGGATCCCCGCCCGCAGGAAGCGGCCGCACTCGCTGCTGTAGCCGGGGGGCAGCGGGCGCCCGTCGGAGTCCACCAGGCGCCCGTGGGCGGGCAGGGGGGCGCCGCCGCCCGACGGGGGCCGCGCGGTGAGGCGGCAGCGACCCTCGGGGAAGCCCAGCACGCTGGCGTCCAGGGGCGGGCTGAGCCCCAGCCGCGACTCCACCTCCAGCGGCAGGTGGCGGCGGAGCAGGCGCGGCGGCCGGGCCAGCACCTCCACCGGCAGCGCCAGGGGCAGGAGGCGCGGGCGGCGGGGCGAGCCCGAGCGCAGCTGGAGGCGCAGGCGGTAGCGGCCGGGGCGGGGGGCGCCGTAGTGGGTGTAGGTGACCTGGCCGGGGCCGAAGCGGCAGGGGAAGCGCCTGGGGGAGAGGGCGGCGGGGCGGGCCCGGCTCTTCGCTCTCCAGCGCCGTCAGCTCGCACGTCTCCCCCGGCGGCACGCGGATCGCCAGGTCCCGCGCCGGGTCCAGCGCCACGGAGCGGCCGCAGGGCACCCGCAGCCCCCTGCCGGCCACCAGCAGCCCTCCGGCACCGAGTCCCGGGGGCAGGAGGAGAGGAAGCGGGTCCGGGTCCTGCTGCGCTTCTCGCCGCGCCGCCAGGCTGCACAGCAGCAGCCCGGCTATCAGCACCAGGCAGTGATCACTAGCCATCGCCCCCTTTAGCCGGGGTGTCCTGCTCTGGGAGCCCGGCTGCTGCACCGGCTGGGGCGGCTCCGCGGCAAGGTGCACTGGCCGCCTGCTCTTCTAGCAGCTGCACGCGGGGCTGGGCGAGCGGTGCGCTCTGTTCTGCCCCAGCCGGCTGCAGGTACGGAAGAGAAGCGGGCGGCAGCTCCTAGCACCGCCCCGGCGCAGCCTGACACAGCTCACCCGGGGACCCAGCGCCTGCCCTACAGCCTAGAGGAGAAAGCAGCTCCTGCACAAACTGACCCAGCCCCCAGGAGACAGGAACCCTCCTGCTGGGCTCTGATTTTCCACTACAGGGACTCACTCGTCTCTTCTGGGACTGCAGTGACTTCAACTGACTGGGGCTCTAGTCCCACCACAAATGGCTCTAGGTTAGTGTGTACCCCCCTAGGGCACAAAGACTTCAGTTTATTCTCTGATATACTAATCTCTCACCTCACATAAGATGGTTTGTTGTGAACTACAGCTTCCCCATGCTTCCTTGGATCAGCTTTCAGAGCCAGACTCTGCACTCTGTTTAAACGCAATGTCTCTACCTTTACACAGGTGTCATTAAGAGCAGCATAGGGCTTTTCATCTCATCTCCTTCAATCAACTAACTATGTAACTGTACTATGATACAACTAATACTAAGCTCTTACATAAGAACCACAGCTGAAAATAACTAAGCTTGCTAAGTGCTGTCCAAATTGGGGAGAGTGACACTGGACCTGCTTCAAATCCCTTATTATCATAAACATCTTTCTCTGACTCTCCAACAGTGTTTAAGGAACAGGAGGGCATTCCAGACAGTTTTTTTTTTTATAAAAACCACACCTGGTACTATCAACGCCTTTCCATACAGCATGCTATACATCTGGAGAAAACATACTTGCCCCTTTCCTAGTTTGGTGTCAAGTTCCATGGTGTGTATATTAAGAAGTGAAGTTTTGAGCCTACTTTGGAAAATTTCTGTTGCCTTTGACAGGTTTCAGAGGAACAGCCGTGTTAGTCTGTATTCGCAAAAAGAAAAGGAGTACTTGTGGCACCTTAGAGACTAACCAATTTATTTGAGCATGAGCTTCCGTGAGCTACAGCTCACTTCATCAGATGTTATACCGTGGAAACTGCAGCAGACTTTATATACACACAGAGAATATGAAACAATACCTCCTCCCACCCCACTGTCCTGCTGGTAATAGCTTATCTTTGAGTCACTATCTAGTTCTGCTAAACAAACACTAGCAAATCCACATGAGACAAGGCTGAGATTTTCAAACTATGGCATTAGGGAGGGAAGAGGAAGGCTTGAAAAACCAATTTACTGAATGGCTACTCTTACAGAGACAAGAAGGATCTTACCCAAACATATGCAACCATCATGACAAACTACTGTAAGGGCCTTTTCTGTAAATATTGGTACGCAAATTACATTCATGGTGGTCTTTTTTTAAAATAACAAAAATCAAAAGCAAACATGCATTTAGTGATCACTAAAGTTATCACAACATTATGTGCTCAGTTTTTCTTAATTATTAAAATGGAAAGAATTGTAAAATCATATTTATGTTTTATGCTTTATTCTGTTTTACTGTTTGCAGTTTGGATAGTGAAAATAGCCTGGCCAGTGTTACATTTTCAGTAAGTTTCTTGTTAATTTCACTTTCCATCTTCATGTACCAGCTCAATGCTAGGATTGCCTACAGGGAAAATGAATGTTTATTTAAATCAATTTCCATTGGAATAAAACACAGTCTTCATTTTTTAAAAGCACATTTTTAACAAGGTTTTTGACTAGATTTATCCTAGTACTATTCTGTTAAGGGGACAAGAGTATAAAATACTTTTATCATTATATTTTATTTACTTTCTGTAATATCCTCTTAAGAGCTTGAAGAAAAAATACTAAAAATATTAACCCAGTTTATTTTCTTTAATGTTTGCCCTGCTACTGCTTCCATTTAAATCAATTGGTCATTTGCCATGGACTGCAATGAGACCAAGATTAGTCCCTATAAGTCTTTGTGTTTTAAAAAAAAATTTTTGGTCTAATTTGTGGTTTTTGCAGCAGAAAAGCTTTCAAAAAACTTCTAGTTTGTTCGTGTAGAAGCTGTAGGGAGCACACTGGGAGACCAGATACTACTTTTATCCAGAGCTTTATACAATTTACTGCTTCTGTTAGTTTTTAAATTTGCCAATGGTGATGTAAAGAGTAAAAACTTTTCCTCTCAGATATAGCATTTTAAGGTACAGTAGGATAAGCTATAGTTCTACACACTCCTTGGAGTGTTCTTTGGAGTTAAGACTTCAAGATTAAAGCATGGTTGGGAGCAATCAACTTTTATTGGGATTTGCTTTTCAGTGACTTAAAGCTGTACATTGTACATCAATATATGCATAAAATTATTTGGAGAGAGACAAGGTGGGTGTGGTGATATTTTATTGGACCAAATTCTGTTGGTGAGAGAGAGCAGCTTTGGAGTTTACACCCGAAGAAGATTATTTGTAATAACGATTGTATTAAGAATGCGATCCAAAATGAAGGCCAGATCCTGCTCACCGTCCTCACACAAGTAGTTTCACTGAATAAGGTGCTTGAATAAGGTGAGCAGGGCTTGGCTATTATGTTGTCTACTATTCATCATATAAGCAGCGTTCCACGTAATATGTGTTGTGTGATCAGGGAATGTGCAGAATATATATTAGTCAAGCATTAGGAAAAAAGTATATAAAGGGCCTGTCACCACTGTGTTGCTCCAGTTGTACACCTGTGTAACTGACTGAAAAACAGGTGTACCATAGTGGTGAATCAACCCCTATATTTTCTTGAATACCTATCTAGCATCTATATTCTACACATTCCCTGATTAGGATCTAGTTTTTTTCTTTATGTTCTTCACAATTTTTGTTTCTTTATGTTCTCAGATGGAATTAAACAATAAAAAAAAAAAAAAACCCTTAGAGCAGCTCAAGATACAGGGTCAGATCCACAGCTGGTGTAAGTCAGTGTAGCTCCATTGACTTTAGTGAAGGGTCTGGCCCATCATTTCTAAGGAAGGATGAAGTAAGAGTAACACCTGTTTTGAGGGTTTAGTAAATGATAAAACATGTCAGAGGAAAATAAGATACTGACACAGTGTTCCAAATCTTCCCATGGAGAGTTAAACTAGCCGTGGGTGGTGGTAAGAAGTTCTTTGCAAGCTAAGCAGGAAAAATGAAAGTATTTGCCAGTCTTCTCTGATGTGAATCAATTATGTTGTTTTCTTATGACTCTAGTACATTTTGCTTTTTGTTGTGAAAGCATTGCTGCACAGAAATAACTTCTAGGAGGTGGCTAGGTAGAGTAATCCATTGTGATGACTCTGATGTACTACTGGGCTGACATTTCACAACAGACTACCATGGCAATTACAAACTGCAGCCCAAGTGAGCAGAAAGGTCTTTAACAAAACCTGATTTCTGGTAATGGACCGTGTTGTCACACTGCGATTCTTTTTCATAGTCACCTTGATGAACAGGCATCAAGCTGATCGCCAGAAAGATCTCTGAATGTACAGAACGTTATTTGTTGCACAAGTAGGTATGACCCTCTTAACACTGAAACTGAGGAAAGGTCTTTCAATAGAGGTAGCTATTTTGTAGCACTACAAAATTCCAGATTATAAACCAAATGCTACACAGGTGTCAAACTGAATGGACACTGGAATGTCCAAAGATACATCTCCTTACCTATTTTAGGAGGTGTTGAAGTACTCTCAACTGACATTCATCAAAAGGTCTGGTTGTCTGAGTAGCGCATTGAAGTGGTGCTTCCATATTAGCCTTGGTTCATGTCTTCTGAATCAGGATAATACTCAGCTTCCAGGCCCATTCAAGCTTTCCATAGATCAAATCCCTCTTTATACAAAATGTAATGAAGAGGTTTGTTGGATGAAGCTCTGCTGCAGTATTTGTGTTTTAGGGAGGGAGGCTTTATTAATGGATATCCAGAATAGAAAAAGTACCAAGCAGTCTGAAAAATAAAAAAGGTAGAAGAGGCATGTAATAAAAGATATTTCTAAATTTAAGTGTAAATATGGAACTATTTTCTTTTGCAGATTTTTTTAGCTAAAAAAAATGAAATCCCCTTCTTTTGGGAGTGGTAGTATGAGCTGATCTTGGTGCATAGATATTATGACATGAGACGTTCCTAAAATAGGCAAAGAGATCTCAATGCAGGGTAGCAGCTTCAGCCATTGCTTTATGAGGATGCACACACTGGACATGTTTTCACTTGAGATATCTTTCACAGCAACTAGGACAAAATCAACATAGCCCCCATAAG